AGTAATTCTTTTCTAAGAAATAAATTTGCTCAATTTTACCATAGAATATAATATCCAGTAATCAATAACTATCACTGTATGAAATTAAGCACTTTAACATGGATATAGAAACTTGGAGTCTTCCTACATATGCCGTGTACTTATTGTTGACAATCCAGTTCTTTGATTGATAGCTATACTTTAGAATGTGGTTATTAATCTATTTCAGGTCAAGCAGAAATTTGATTTGAATATACTGAATCTGTAATGTCTTCTACTGATTGATAAGTTGTTAATTATATTTTCTTACTAAATCTTGAAATAATGCTTGTTGATAATCCCCATCGGTCAGGAATAAGGATTTGTAAAATCAAAACCAAAGTATTACTAAACAAAATGGACTGCTGGGAATTAGGTCAGCATACAAAAAAAATCATTAAAATTAAACTAGAAAAACTTGTTTTATACATATACTCAGGACTGAATATCAGAGTCTCATGAGCTAAATCTAAATGGCCAGATATTGCCCCAACACTTGACAGTGACCTTCTTGCAGTAAAATAAGCTTTGGGAAGTCTGTGAAATCTCTCTGCAGCTATTAGTGGAGCCATTTAGGGAGGCAAAAATAGGCCATGTATTGCAAGATTAGATTGTGATTATTACATTGAAATAAAGCCCAAGAGAAATAAACTGGCTGAAATTTAATGTGTATTATACAATACATTAAAGAAGTAATTTTAATGAAAATTGGCATACACTAAGTGATACAATTCCAATAATATATGAAGTATTTGAATCTACTAGTAATTTTACACTTAATATTTAAAACAAAATATCTCAAAATTTAAGATGACTTCTGTAGCAAAGATGAAACCATCTTTTAAGGTGAGAATAACAAATCTTCCCCAAATTTGCTAAAACCAATTAAGATAAAGGCTTATCAAACTATAGAAACATAATCAATAATCAATGCATAAATCATCATTTATTAATAAATAAATAAATAATTATTTATTAATTAATAATAAATTATTAATGCATTCAGTTTTGTTCCATGTTCTTTTAGAAGACATAATTTTCCACCAAATCAAATTTACCTGAGGCATTAAATGGAAAGGACTACTTCAATACACTTCATGAACAGTACATATAGTGGAAAATATTAATTATGATACAAATTTTGCAAGATGAAGAAAAATACCATCTCAGACCAGAGGCAATTCACATAACGTATTCTAGAAGCTGCATCTGATGCTCAAAAACATGAAAGAGTTCTTATTTATATGTGTTTATTTTATTTTTGATTGTTTTAGATTGTTAGGAAGTTTTTCATTATTGTTGTATACAATGCCCAGAGTCACATTACTGTGAGATGAGCAGCTATATAAATATGATACATTAATAAATAAAACTAATGGAATTGACAGTAAAAAGTAGATTTTCTATCCTACTAGACTTTTAACATTTGCAGAGGACAATATGTGACTATTAAAAACACTAAACATTAGAGATCAGACAACACAGTTCAAATGCACTAATACTAATTTGAAAGAAATGGATTTTATATGGCTACAATATATATATTGTAGCCATACACACACACACACACACACACACACACACACACACACACAGTACCTTCCAAATTCCATACAGAGAATGGAAAATTAGAAGAGAGGAAATCAGGTTTTATTGCTGTGAGTTTTACACTCCAACCAGGAAGTAAGTTTAGCAGGATTTTTCCTTAACAGTACCTTTGAAAGGAATGTAGCAGACATTTATGAGGAGGCCAGACTTTCCAGATACTGTATATCTTTAAGATATTTAATTGACAGATGCCTAAGACAACTAACTACTCATTTGATAGTTATTACCAAAACCAAGTCAGTAAGATTATTTCTTGAGAAGGCCAATGCTGTACAGCTCAATTTTTGTTCTCACATTTTCTATTCTCTACTTTCACTGATTCCCCACTTTTTTCATTTCTTACTTCTGCACTACTGATCTGCTCAGAAGAGACTGCCAGAAGAAAATGCCATTCGTATGGATCAGTTCCCGATAGATTTGAGCATTAGTGAAAAATAACTGACTTGCTGAAAGAAACTAATCTAGTGGATTCAATTGGATATTCTATGTGGATCACTACCTAAATTAATTTTCAGATCTGCTGATCTAAAAACTGCCATATTCCATTTCACTGCTGTTTTCAGACTTCCAAGGTAATCTCTAATTAAAGAGAAACAAACCAAGCAATTACTCCAATTTTAAAAAATAACGGAACTCATTTTCCATGGCCCACCGTACTTCATCCTGTAATCTGTTTTATAGTGAGGCCAGTCCAATTACAATTGTTTGCCTCCTTTTAAAAATATACCTGTATAATATATACTGCTCAAAAAAATAAAGGGAACACAAGCAGAAGACATCCAAGATCTGAATGAATGAAATAGCCTTATTAAATACTTTGTTCTTTACATACAGTAGTTTATACACTGCTCAAACAACTAAAGGGAACACAAAACTACTGTATGTAACGAACAAAGTATTTAATAAGGCTATTTCATTCATTCAGATCTCAGATGTCTTCTGCTTGTGTTCCCTTTATTTTTTTGAGCAGTGTAGATTTTCAACCCACATCACTGCTATAGTTTTGGGTTTTTTTTAATGTTCAGAATCACATTTTAAGTGACATTAAGTATTGAAATCATAGGGAAGCGAGAAAGGAGTGAAAATCCACCCTTTATTAATCTGGTTAATAAAAGCCTTGCTGCCTGTAAGGAGTTTCTAACGCACACTTTATGCAGAGCTTCAAAGGGGTACTTTGACTCCATGAAGTTCTGATTAAAGCAGTGTTTCTCAGCCTTGGCAGTTTGGAGATGTGTGGACTTCAACTCCCAGAATTTCCCAGCCAAATATGTTGGCTAAGGAATTCTGGGAGTTGAATTCCACATTTCTTCAAACTGCCAAGGTTGAGAAACACTGAATGAAAGAATTCCCTCAAATTCAGCACTGACTCAAAGTAGCACGTTAATACAACACTTAAGTAAGCTGCCAGTGAGTCAGGATCCCAGCTACAAATGTCCCTTTCCACCAGAATGAAATGGTGAGCTCCATTGCATTTCAAGGAATTAAGGTTAAATAATTTCAATTTTTTGAACATTGCTGTATCTCATGCTGGATTATTCTATGGCCTGAACCTGAATGAGGCCGCAAGGTAGAATTGACCCATTTAGTACAGGCCTCGTTTCTATAAAATTGAAGCAGTTGCCAGAATCAAGATGACATGCTTTAATTCAATGCCAATTTCATTTATTAAAATACCAATGACATTGTAACAATTCCCTTTTTTTTTTTTTGTCAACATGTATCTTACTATTTATCTTTTGTACATGGGTTTGCTGTTCTCTTTTCTGTATTTCAGCATCCCACAGTTTGCATAGGTTTGGAATGTGAGAAATTTTAAGTGAGAAGTTCCCACTTAAAAATAAATGGCATCATCTCTTTTTAAGTTTCTGAACAAATGTTTCCAGGTTATAGGAAGATTTTTGTAGCATTTTATAACTGTAGAAATGGGTTAGAAAATATGTGATCTGGATTTTTTCTATAGTCTATATGTCTTTGTAGAATCATCTTATTCTTAATTGAATTAGCATGACTTTGGAGGTCAAGCCTTTATCTTGATATTCTTGAAGAAGGTTACAAAGCATAATTATTGCATTTCTTACTCATCTTACTAACATGCAACAGAAAGAACCTCAAACATTTTCATTACAAACACCTCTTCTATTTACGCATGAACTTTTAAGTATCTGACATGTGTATGCACATAAATTTGTCAAATTACTTGAATTCAGATTACACAAATTACAAAAGAGTTATAGCCAAGAATATTCAGGAGCAGAATGGAGATGTTTATATCTAATTTTGAGTCAAAATACAATAGGATAAAATAGAGATATGGGCATGCCAATACATCCTGATTTCAAGTTATGCTCTGCAAATGGAATTCGGCAACACTGTGACTAGGCTAAATTTCATTTCAGTTGTAATATACTTTAATATTAGCTTCTTTCAGTTTAATCCAATTTACTATCATAATGGATAATTCAAACAATTAGATTGAGTGCCTTTTACACCAATGAGCCCTTAATCTGTTTAAAATTGCAGAATTTCTCATTTTGTAATAAATTAGGACATAATTAAGACTATTTTAATATACAGGTTTTTGTTTAATTTAAATAAGCACAAATCTGTATAGTTTCATTTCTCTTCCCCAGCCCATCACTATTATATTATGCAGGTAGTCCTCAACAGTTCATTTAGTGACCTTTCAAAGTTACAATGGCACTGAAACAAGTGACTTATGACCATTGCAGTATCCCCCTAGTCGTGTGATCCAAATTCAACCACCTGTCAACTGACTCATATTTATGTCAGTTGCAGTGTCCTGGGGTCATGTAATCCCCTTTTGCAGCCTTCTGAGAAGCAAAGTCAATAGGGAAGCCAAATTCACTTAACAACCTATGTTATTAAACTAAATAATTGCAGTGATTCACTTAACTGTGGCAAGGAAAGTCACAAAATGGGACAAAATTCACAACAAATGTCTCAGTAGCAGAAATTTTGGGACTCGGTTGCGGTTGTATGTCAAAGTCTACCTGTATTACTCATAAAATAAAAGGAAGATATTTTTTTTATGGACTGAGTTTTCTAGAGTTGACCAAAATGTGGCATTTTGTAACTGCAACAACCTTTCTGAAACACAGTAACCAGAAATCCAGATTGGAGACAATATTGAAAAGAGAAACAAATGTACAGTATACTTCAGCTTGATAGCTGCTGACAGCAGCACATTTTGCCAAAGCATTTTCAGCTATGCAGAATTGCCTCATCATACCTTATCATTTGACTAAGATAACATACATTGTCAAAGGCCACTAAACATTTCTACATATGGTGAAGAAAAATCAAGGCAGTTGCAAAAGCCAATATAAATGTTTACTCCTTTTTGAGAATCTTACCTTACTTCTTCGTATAATAGTTTTGCCTTAGAAATCATGTTATCCCTTTTGGGAAGGAATTTGTACCATATTTTTAATTGTTCTCATTTAGCTTAATGTGGGGAAGGATGCTTTTCTTTCTAGTGCCATTTGCTGCTGGAAAGATATAAATTAACTAAACGTAAATGCATTTTCTGATTAAATTAGTGAGGCAATATTTTTTTTTTCTTTGCACCTACCACAGTTATATGTGACCTTTTATCGTATAATTAAATTTTCTTCCTGGATGAATCTGAATAAATTAAAAATAAGGTAAAATAATTCCTTTGTGGGAATTCTTTCTATTAGATGCCTGGAAGAAATAGAAAAAAACTAATTTAATAGTAATACAGTATGATCAAGAATATTGCTGAAATGCATTCTAAAATCCTTTAAATTTAGGCATAAAGTGGAAGTTTTTATAATATGAAGACAAAAATAAAAGTTAATTGAGATTTCAAAATGTACTGCAACAAGTTATTTTTCTGTTCTAATTTTGTTAGCCTTCAGAACCATTCCCTTAACATATATTAGTTCAGAAATCAATGTGGTACAAAATTGTATGAATAAAGAAAAATATATAGTAGTACTTTATACAGATAATTCTCAAGTTATGACAGTTCACTTAGCGACCGTTCAAAGTTATGACATACCCCCCTGTACTTACAACACAGTCCTATGCAGCACCATAGAAGTTGTTAACATTTACGAATGACCATAGAGGCTCTGTAACATTCACCCTGCCTATTCCTCCCTCTGCCCAGCTGGGACTCCACAAGCACTAGGCATGTGGATATTTATTTTATGAAGATCTAGTGAGCCTTCGGTTTCTTGGCCTGTTTCAGTGCTGCAGGCCTTCAGTGCATTCACAGAGAATGGAGGCCTAAAGTACTGCAATATCACATGAAATCAGTAGTGTGAGATCTCATGCTACTGATCTCATGTGATCTCACAGTACTTTAGGCCTGTTCTCTGCAAATGGAGCCCTGAACGAGATGTGGCAAAAGGCTTTGCAAACGGAGGGAAGGCCTGCAGGACCGAAGCCTTCCCTCCATTTGCAAAGCCTTTTGCCATCTTTGCAAAAAGCCTTTGCTGCCAAAAATGGAGGACTTTGGGCCTCTGTTCTCATTGCCAAGGGCCTTTCCTCAAGTTTTTTCCTGAAGAGAACAAAGCCCATGAGGGGTGTGCGCGTCTGTCTGGGCCTCCGTTCTCAGCGGCAAAGGACTTGAGGAAAGGCCCTTGGTGATAAGAATGGAGCCCCAATGCCTCTGTTCTCAGTGGCAAAGGCTTTTTTCAAAGACAACTGGAGCCTATAGGGATGCAATCTCTTCTCCCTGCAGGCCTCAGCAAAGCTTTTCTCAAGACAAAACCATGGCAGAGAGGCTGGAGAGGAGACAGTTCCATTAATCATTGAAATCTACATAATATAAGTGACCGGGTTTTGACAGGATGGGGGAGGAAAGCATGAGATATCTCAGTGGGTTAGGGGAGGCCTTGGGTGATCGGAAGCACTACGCTCCCCCCATGGCCTTCCCCATCCTGAGATATGAGTGCACTTAACAACCTGTGCATTCAATTAGCAAATGGGAGGGCAAAAGCAGGGAGTGATCATGTTCACGTTACATGATTTACTCCTATGAATCCTCGGGTTATGAATATAATTGGGAAGCTCCATTACATTCGTAACTCAAGGATTACCTGTAATGCTTTGGTGTTAAGAGGATGTAGGGCACATTAGTTCTGTAATCTGTAGGCCATAGAAGCTGAAGTTGCTTTATTATACCCAAATTAAGTTGACTTTGCTTAGGTGTTAAAAAGTAGATCTTGATTCTTTTCTCAGATTCAGAATATAAAATCCTCATCATATCTGGCTTGGTATCTAGCACCCCAGTTTGCCACTTGCCAGCACTTTAATTTGGCTGAAAAAAACTACTGTCTAGAAGCATGATAAGTATATTGAACTGCAACAGATTCAGTTTATTAATCACAATACACTAAAGGCTGTTTTCATTTAATCACACTGCACTGAAAGTAGTATTGGAAATGTGAGGTAATTACTTGATGAGAATTCTTAGGGCTCCCAGACAAAACCATAATTAAGGCAATTAATACCATGTGATTACTATCCATTCTAATTCATACACTTTTCAGAAAAGAGATTCACCATCTGGATTTCACCATAAATACTGTAGCAGGAAAAAAATGGAAGTTAAGCATAAAGGTTATAAACTTTTTAAAATGATATGGTAATTCCATTTCAGAAGGTATTTATAATGCCAAAAGTACTACTTACCTCTGACTAGTCAAGATAGTGTAGAACTAGTTATCCATGTAACAAATCTTCATTTTTCTGGACATTGCCAGAATCGCTAAATAAAAAATAAGGAAATGCATTGATTAGCTAATGCTAATTTTCCCAAATAGTTGTAATTAAGAAACTTTGAAAAAAATTAAAAACTCCAAGATAAATAGCCTAGAGATATATGTTTAGAAAAGAATTCACAAACTATATACATTGGAAAATTATGCACAGAAGTACCTATAAATTTTGCTTATTTTTAGTGAATCTTGAAACTGAAAATCCAAATGAAAATAATTTTGTTTCAGGATCCAATCTGAGTTAGCCACTGGGACCAAAGGTTTGTTATTCCAAGCTTTCAGACTCATGCTGGAGCCCATCCTCAGGGAACTTCTTTCTCTCCAAGATGTGTACACTGGGCTGTTCTTTGCATAATATTTATGTGGGGCCTGGTTGGGTGTGGCTTTGAATTGTTGATGGTGTTGATGGCCAGCTATTAAATTGTTGATTGTTGTTTCCTTTTTCTGCCTGCCCAAGTTCCTAAGTACTTGTTGGTGGTAAATTAGCAATCCTGTTGACTGACAAGGGGCCTGTTTCTCAGGCTTCAATCATTTCTCTAATGATTTTTGTCCCTGTTTGGCCAACAATCTTAGTAGCTGCAAAATTGAATGCATGTCCTTGTTCATTGCAGGCTACCAATAAGAGTCTCCTCTTCTAAAAACTTGCTTGTGTTCTTGTAACCTTGTTAAATAATAATAATAATAATAATAATAATAATAATAATAATAATAATAATAATAATAATAATAATGGAACATCGTATATCTTAAGAAGGTACTTGGTTGATACCTAGGACGCTGGCAGCAACCCGTATCAACCATTAGCACCAATCAATGGTATTTGTGACACATGATGATGATGATGATGATGATGATGATGATGATGAACATAACAATAATAATAATAATAATAATAATAATAATAATAATAATAATAATTTAATAATAATTGAAAATTGTCATTCGAAGTGAGAGGGGCTAAGGGCACAGAGAAAAAATAGAATATTTTTCAACCATTATTCTGTAAAAGCCAGGTCATGGACTCAGACTTAAAGAGGCCTGAATTCCAACTGTAGTGCCAGCACTAAGCAAACATGAGAATTATTGAGACGATAGCCTGGAGAAATTTTGACTGAATCTTTTCCAACTTGCTACAATTGCTTAAATGTAAGTCTAAAAGCCATATAGCATTTGGGCTACACCTTTACTTTCAAAGCCTTTGAAAGCTAATGGAATATAAGGTCCAAAATGAAAAAAAAAAAAGTAGGTCTACATAGCTGAATAGCTGATATTTATGACTTGAAACTATTACATTAGTATCTATTCACCATTTATATTTCAAAGATCTTTTAGCAAACACTTGTCACTTGATCTTGCAATAATTGATGGTCAGAAATTCCTGCCAGCTGTTAGAAGCAAATTGTAAAGAGCTCTTCTCAGCCCTATTAGAGTTCACAATACAAACGCTGCATTGTCAGCATGAAGTAAGATAATGACATGCCTCTTGTATAATTTAGGAGGATGGAAGTCTGGATTGTCCAAACAATCCACTAATGAATTAATATAAAGATTAAATAGTGTTGGAGCTAAGATAATGGTATTTTCTTGTGGCTTGTAATGAATTTGACAGCAGGCCCTAAGCTATGTATCTAACCCCAAAGATATGACTGTAAAGCTAGCAAATGAGCAAAAGAAATCATGAGTCAACAGAGAAGCCTAGAGACAGAATTAAATGCAGATTTATATTCTATAGAAATGGCATGAGGAAGGAATGTTGAAACTTTATCCAAGATAGACCAGTCCATTCTAAATCTTGTTTCTTTCTTGTCCAGGAGACAACCGGGAATCAATTATGTAATAGTATTTACGGAGTGAATATGCCTGAAAAAAATGCATACTTTTTAAAAAAATAAAATGCAATTATGGTGGGTAGATTCTGATCCATGGTCACATTAATGGTTTGATCGGTGCATGCGCTGAGCTTAGCTAACACTAATGCCTAACAATATAAGATACTAAGATATAACTTACTAAGATATAATATGACAATACAATACAATACAATACAATACAATACAATACAATACAATACAATACAATACAATACATAATAATTCTTCTTTCAGAAGTCACCAATAATTGCTCACTCTTCAAGGATAATATAATTTATATTTATGTTATCATCATTCTAGTCTTTGTCTATCCACTGCAGGATGAAGTCCTCTTCCGCATGTTTCCAACCAATACGGCCCTGAGCTTTCTTTTGCCAATTGGGTCCATAATACTTGCTGATATCATTGATCCATCTTGTTTTAGGTCTCTTTTGTGGATGCTTTTTATCAAGTGGAATTCATTCTATGACTGCCTTGGTCTACCTGCTTTCAGTTCTTCTTGCTATTTTACCAATCAATTTGCATTTCAATTCTCTTACTCTCTTGATGATATTGTATACTAATACTATACCCATGATGGCGAACCTATCGCACGTGTGCCACAGGTGGCATGCGTAGCCATATCAGTGGGCACACCAGCTTAGCTCTGGCATGCATGCATGCGCCGGTCAGCTGATTTTTGGGCCTTCTGGGCCCACCAGAAGTAGTGAAACAGGCTGTTTCCTGCCTCCAGAGGGCCTGGGGTGGGTGGGGAAGGCCTGTTTTTCTTTCTTACCTGGCTCCAGATCCTCTCTATGCATCTAGGAAGGGCAAAAACAGCCTTTCCCACTCCCTTGGAGGTCCTCCGGAGGTCTGAAATGGCCCATTTCCCAACTCCCGGTGGGACAGGAAATGACTTTTTTGCTGTCCCCAGCCTCCAGAGTCTCTGATCAGAGTCTCTGGAGGCTGGGACAGCAAAAAAATCACTTCCTGTCCCACCGGGAGTTGGGAAATGGCCCGTTTCAGGCCTCCAGAGGGCCTCTGAGGGAGTGGGAAAGGCTGTTTTCGCCCTTCCCAGATGCATAGAGAGTATCTGGAGCCAGGTGAGAAAGAAAAATGGGCCTACCGGGCCATCGTGTGCCAGGAACAGGGGGGAAGGGGGAGTTGCACGTGCATTATGGGTGTGGGCATGCACACATGTGAACCTCCCCCGCCCCCCTCCTGGCATGCGATAACAAAAAGGTTAGCCATCACTGTACCATACCATACCATACCATATCATACCATACCATACCATACCATACCATACCATACCATACCATACCATACCATACCATACCATACCATACCATACCATACATACATTACATTACATTACATTACATTATATATTATTACATTATTATTACACTATATATTATATTATAATATTGTCCCTGAATTTAGGGCAATTATCTTAGTGACTTCTGAAAGAAGAACCATGAGCCACTCCAGGAGAGAATAATACAAGATGAAAACAAAAAGGGATGATTAATATCTACAGTATTTGTCTATTTAATATGACCACCCAATCATCTGATGGCATGTAACATCCCAGAAAATTTTCAGAAAATATACTGTATATGACACAGCTTGCCCAAAGGCAGATTCCCAAAGGCAAATGTGTATGTCCAGGATCCCTGAATTGTTGACTTCTTTTTTTTAACCTGCTTAGGATGACCTAACTACCTTTTTTGTGTCAGAAATTTACATTGAAACCCTAAGTTAATAGATTTATAAGCTCTTTAAATTTTGAATCATATGCTTTTTTCTGTGATGCAAAAATTCCCTACAATTGACACGGTTTCTCTATACTTCATGTATCAACATATAGCTCAGAGAGTTTATTGGCTTTGATCAGCCAATCAAAAGAAAATGGTGGACTGATAGATGACCTTCACAGATATCCCTTTAAGAATATTTCAGAATCAGAAATAAATCACTGTTTAACAGTTATTAGTTATTAGATGATTAACCAGTAAATCATCTAATAAAGCTGATACTATAAAATAATAATATATTTTAGAATATTTGCTTAATCTTCTATCCAATTAGTAAGGACACCTGAAGTATGCCATTAAGCAAAGAACTGTCCAGGCTGCTCAATAATGAGGCCTACCTACAATAAAATGACCAAATAATATTTGAGGTACATCTCTGTAATGAGGCAGAATATACAGTATAATCTTGGGGGAAGACATCTGTGATGGTAAGAAGACACCAGGTTATCATTAGACTTTATATAACTTCTAATAATATTATTGAAATTTTGGAAGGCAGCTACATATTCCAAATTATGTTATTTTTGTGTTATATAAGGGCAGCATTTAAGCAATTGTGGCCGGGGGGCGGGCGGGGTTGTTACATGTTGATGATGAGAAAATAAATAGGACTCTAAATCCAGACTGCAACAGAACACCAAATGTCACAATGTGTCATCTTGGTCCTTTTTTGGTATAGTCCAGTAACACAATTCTTGTTTGTGTTTAATTTTCTTAATACTCTAGTTAAAGGGAGAAAATCTATCAACATAAACATAAACCTTCTGGGTGAGCATAATATTAAAATTGGAAGTATTTATTTTTTTTCCAAATCAAAGTGTTCTATTAAGGAATGAAACATTACCTTAAATGGTGTGAGTTAATTCATAAGATTTGCCCCCAGCAATATCTTAGCAGAAAGATCTAATGACACTGTCAGTAGGATCAGCTGGGTAGAATGCTCTAAGGGAGCAAGTGAGCTACTGAGCCAATGATATTATGTGAAAAGTTTCATTTGGACTCAACCAGACATATTCACAGAAACAGCTGGAATACTGTAGCTCAAAGGAAGATCATCTGGAAAATATAGAGATACTACTTCTTGCTGCAAAAGTTTTATCCTAACAGATCTGCTTATAATATGTGGCATAAAATAAACTTAGTCTTAGGATACTCTATTTCTATCATTTTCCAGGGTTAAGCCTGGAAAACTTTGATCTTTCATTTTGTTAAAGACCAGGATAGCCATTAGAGGTTTGGCTACTTCCTGTGGTATAGTCATTTTATTGGAAATGTCTTTTAGCCTTCCAGTTACAATCACCCACTTTTTAGTGTATTGAAATATCTCTATTTGAGATAATAGTAGTAGTTGAATACTTTTGATTCAACCCACATGAATTAATGATTGGGCTAAATGTGAATGACAAAATGACTGTCTTGGAATAAGGGGAAAAAGAAAACCTTGAGAAAAATATGCAAGTTCTTTTAACTAAAGCAAAGAGGGCTGAAACATTCTTTAAATCCTAAGAAGCAAGATAGTATTTAAAAGTGACTCAGCAGGCTCCTCACTGATTTATTGGGATATAAGGAGGAGAGAGGTAAAACACAACCAGACTTGCGGGATTATGATATTATAGCCAATCTCAATAAAATATTGTTCTAGTTCTTGAGTTGATTTTCCATTCTGTTCAGTGGGGCTGACACATTTAGAGAGTGCCTTCCGAAGAACAGCTTTCCCAACTTGACATTCTTTAGCTGTATTGGAGTTCAATTTTGATAATGACCGTTCATCAGACCATAATGATGGCTGTTTAATACTGGAGTTGAAGTCCAGTAATTTGGCAATGAGACAGATGATCATTTTTTTAATAGTATGCAGTCATTATAAAAGTAAGCCTTCCTAATTATTGCCAATAATATTTATAGAGAAGAACTGAATTATCAAACATCAGATGGATGGGGAAATATTGATGGGTTTTACTGAAGTCATTATGAATAAAAAGATTTTTCTGATCAAACACATATTGCATATATTAAAAGCATCTTCATAATTGTTGTTCAGGTATTGTATGATATACTTACCAAACATTTTTATTATTACATCTTCAGTGAAATATTATAATCAATATTTTCATAATGTGCATAGATTATTTTATATATTCATAAATTCAGTTTGTAGTTCTACATAATCTTCAGTACCAGCAGCAATAGAGACCCTTAATACTGAATGTTGGTATCAGGCAGAGTTCTCAAGAGAGATTTTGCTGATGTAATATGATCTAACCATTATGACAGCAATAGGATCACTTAATATTATTCTGTCCTCATAAAGTATTATCCTCAGCTCCAGTCTTGTGTATGTATGCATAAAAACTTACCGTCTTTCATGACCTTATGGATTTTGAAAAAGAAGAAGTTTTCATTTTTGTTTTAAAAACTGAGGAAGAACACTGGAGTAATTCACACATCATTTTTTCTAAAGTCTTGAGTCTAATGAAAATACTAGAGCTCCATTGATCAAAATAAAAATGTACCAGTAGCCTTTTAAATGGTCCAAATAGATCAGCTACTGTACTTCCAATTCTAATATTCTATTTTTAGATTGTTTGTATATATGAGCATTGCAAAAATAATATTCAGCCTCAAATCCTCCATCAACTTGCATTATTTTTTCTTTAAAAAATGAATTCTTGATGATTTAGGAAGGCTTTACAGCCCTTGTAGCAAAAATGAGCAATAGCGGCCGAAAACCTGGAGAAAAATAAATAAATAAAGTGATCTTTTAAAAAAGAGAAATTGATACATAATATATTAAAGATACATAATATATTATTTTCCACCCAATACTTTTATTTTAAATGACATATCATAGAAATTAATTTTAATATATTAATTTTTGACACTAAAAAGATTCTTTACTCACAAAGTATAGAATTCCTTGCCAAGTACTATACTTTCTGAACAATGCGCCAATATTTAGTGTATAATTTACCGTTCCCCATTTATTTTGGAAGATGTTCCTTAAAACTGAATGGTGTTTATTTCTGAAAACATTGAGAATAAAATCAATATGTATGCCATAAACTGTCCTAATGTTACTCTCTTTTATGAACCCTTCAATTCCCACTAAAGAATTTTGAAAAGTTCATCATCTAGACCAGAGGTCTTGAAATTTGGCAGCTTTAAGACTTGTGGACTTCAACTCCCAGAATTCTCTAGCCAGCATAGCTAGTCCACAAGTCTTAAAGCTGCCAAGTTTGAAGACCTCTGAGCTAGCCTTTAATTAAGGTATGCATTTTAATTTAGAATAGATTTTTCACAATATCAGTAGCTTTGCTTCAGAACTCACTCCCAAGTGAGTTCCCATCCCAGGGAGGAATAATAATTTTCATTGACTTCCCTGACAAAGACGTCAGGGAGTTTGAGCTTTTTACTTTTTTGTCTTATTTTTTAAAAAATTTGACCAAAAAGTGCCATACTGAAAATACTGAATACATACAAATCAAGATTCTGCATGAAAATTTGATAGAAAAGAAACAGTAGCAAAGATAGACCATTAACGTATAGAGAGCTGTTAGAAAAAGACATGGAGAATGTAAGATAAGAAATCAAAAAAAGAATTGACTGTAGAGGTAACAGGACCTTTGGAATTCAACAGCATGTGATATAATCTGTAATTGAATTAAGTACAAGTGATTGATTTAATTGCTAAAATATATAAACTTTTGATTAAATTTGAAACAAGAAAAAATGAAAGGGAGTATGACAAAATGGGCTAAGTACTTTGGACTTAGGTACTTTGGACTAAGTACTTTGGACTGATGGAACGGTGGGAGAATATGTAGTTGAAAGTTTTGAAATCTACATTATGTTATAGAGAATTATAAAGAGAATTATATAGAGAACTTAAAAGATAATTTTTTATAAAGTGATTTACCATTAACACATGACTCCAGAGAAATAATCTAAAATGTATAAATTTAAAAGCTATGTGGAAAATGTGGAAAACAGGAAGGGTCATTTTATAATGTCTGATGTACCTCTAAAACTGAAAATTTAGGGATTCAAAGAATGTTATATAAAGAATTTTAAAGATTAATATTCCATTGAAACCACTTTTTTCTTCCTAGGACTAATTGATAGACAATTAGAAAAGAGTTGTGAAACATTGTTATATATATATTTAACCTCTGAAAGATTATATGTACAGAAATGGAAAATTCTTAAATTTACACAATGAAGGAATGGCTGGTGAAGATGACAGAATTAGCAGAGATGACAAAACTGATTTCTCTGATTAGAGAAAGGGTTTATTTACTAGTAACTGGAAACCCATTATGGACCTTTGCTGAAAAAAGAAAAATATGAGTGTGTGATTTATGGGTTTGATTATTTGAAAAGGTAGATTAGGAAAAAAAAGGAAATTCTGTTGTAATCTTAGAGAGAGAAAAATATAAATGAACTTGTAATTACTGCTAACTTTTAAAAGTTTTAAAAGTTTTTTTAAAGTAGATTATGTATAAATAAAATCAAAAAGAAATATTTTGTAGGAAAATTTGCTTTTATGGCTAACTATTTTGTGCAGAATGTTATAGCTTTTCCATTTATATATTCATTTCTAGATATGATTCTTGTAGTATTAATATTGTATGCATGTGCGTGCATGCAGGCATACACACAATGTTTCACAATATTGAAACAAATTTAAGTAGAATCAAATAGGGCCTTTTTGTGTACCAATATGTTAATAATTTGATAAATCTGTAAAAAAAATGTGGCCCAATAAATTTCTTCTCCATTTCTGTAATAATGAAGGCAGTTTCAGGAGGCTTGGTAATTAACAGTGAGCCTCATTTTAATCAGGAAGATTCATTGTGCTGATTCCAATTATGATTATGGTTGTGCAGCTTAAGCTTAATGACATAGCAATGTCAGAAAAAAGTGAGGAGAGTATTCCCTAACTGTTCTCTAGGACTGGGGAAAAGTACCCGAGGCCCAGGTCATATATACCCAACAAAGCCTTCTTAAAGTTTCTAATTATATTAGTAAAAGAAATATATATTATGTTCTTGACAAAGCCATTCTACCATGTTTCTCCAAAAAGACGACCCACCTTGAAAATAAGCCCTATCATGTTTTTGAGCGCATGTGATCAAATTAAGCCCCACCCAGAAAATTAGCCTTATTTAAGACCCCGCCCACCCTGGGGTGTAGGGGTGGGGCGAGGCACACTGGTAAAAAATAAGCTAGGATGGAGTAGAGCTGCCCTAACTTACCAGGCCTCGCACACCCCAACACCTGTCTCACCTTCTTCTGTGGCCACTTCTTCTGCAGCCGCTTGCCGCCACTCATATGCATTGGCCCAGCCACCATTTTGCCTTCAGATGCCTGCGGGAAGGCATCTGCAGCCAATAACAGAGCTCCAGATCAATCCTTTAGTTGTTGCTTCTTGATTTATGATTTGTTAACATAACATATATAAAGGTTAGTGAATTCATCAGTTATTTTATTCAGTACTCTATGATGCAATTGATCTTGTCTTGAAGATTTTAACCTAGTCAAAGTAAGTAGTATTTCCTGACTGTTTCTATCAGTCTGAAGCTACAATCCTGCTCACCAGTCAGATCTTTACAATTTCTTGATACAATACAGATTCTTCATCCATAGAAAATTGGAACAAAATAATGGTTATAATAGTTGAAAAGTTCTTCCTTCATTTCTCCATTTTTGTCTGTGTGCATATGCATCAGGGGTGGTATTCACTTACCTTTGCTACCAGTTTGCAAATTTGAGCGCGTCTTCCACGCATGCACAGAGCGTCAAAAATAGAACATGATGAAGTGCAGGCTTCTAGCAGCCACAGCTACCGGTTTGCCCGAACCGGATAGAACCAGCTGAATACCACCACTGATATACATATTTCTGTGTGTGTGTGTGTGTGTGGCGCATCAGCAATGATGCGCCTTGGATAAACATGCTGCACAAACATCTTGGCCAGATTCTGGGCTGAAAGAACCTTCGGACACACAAAGAAGTGTGCTTGCTTTGAAAACAGGTCAACCACTGTCCAAATCATGGTACTCTCATTACTCTCAGGCAATTCTACTATAAAGTCCATGGCAGTTTCTTCCCATGGTCTGCTGGGGTTGGCCATAGGCTGTAGAAGCCCAGGAGTCTTTCCTGGCAATTGTTTCATGGACATGCACACCGGGCAGCTGGTAACATAGTTTTCTATGTCTTTCTTCATCTTATGCCACCAGAACTATCTGAGCCAGGTAAAGAGTCTTTATGAACCTGAAGTGCCTGCTTGCTTTACATCATGGCTTCTTGTAGGATCCAGGTTCTCTGGCTGGCTGGATCATTCCATGCCAGGTCCTCCCTCATCGTCAGCTCATCTTTGTGGTCCTTGAACCATGCATCTTCTTTCAGGGCTTTCTTTAACTACTGGGTCAGAGCACTATCAGCTGGCTGAGGAGTGGCTAGTGGCTGCCACTTTACTGAGACCTGTGCTGCCAATTGCCGGGAGGGGATAATGGAGTTGACTATTTCCTCCCAGGTCCTTTTGTATTGGAGCATCCGAGAAAACATATTGGCGAGGAAATTATTTCACCCTAGCATGTACTGAAGGGTAAAGTTGAACTGATTAAAGTACTACCATCGTACTTGCTTAGGGGATAGTTTACTTGGGGGTTTTAGGACTTCTACATTCTTGCGGTCAGTCCACACTTTGAAAGGGATCTTACACTATGAACTGCCTCCAAGTCAGCATTGCCCATTGAACGGCAGAAGTCTCCTTTTCCCACACCACCCAATGTCTTTCAATGTCAGTCAGTTTCCGGGAAGTGTACGTGCAGGATTGCAGCATCCCCTTCACATTTCTTGTGATCAGGACAGCCCCCACCACCACATCGCTAGCATCGGCTTGTATTATGAACGGTGCCTTTGGGTTCGGGTGTTTAAGAGTTGGCTCCCCCACAAAAAGCCATATGGGCTTTTCAAAAGCCACTTGGCATTCCATAGTCCAGTTAAGCAGCTGGCTCCGCTTGGACTTCACCCACCCCCTCTGCCCATCTTTAGTAATTCAGTGATGGGCAGAGCTATTGGTGCGAATGAGGGGATGAAGTGGTGGTAAAAAGTTGGCAAAGCCCAAGAAACTCTGTAGTTGCTTTCTGTTCTGGGGGGTTTCCCACTCTAGTATTGCTTTCACCTTTCCGGAGTCAATCTCCTCTTCC